ATCGAAGAAGTAGAAGCGAATTTGGAAGGTATGGAGAACAACATTGAAGAATTGCAACAACTTTCTGGACAATTCACAATACTGACAGCGAAAATGACAGAGGAATATGAAAAAATGAGGAGGTCGTTGAGAATAGAGGGAAATCACTAATAAGAGATGAATCCGGTTATCATAGTAGTAATCGACCACCCCACCCCCCACCCCCCTCCGGAAAATGGAATTGGCATTTTCGGAAAGTTGATATGCCCTTGTTTGACGGAACCAACCCCCATGGTTGGATCCTTAGAGCGGAAAGGTATTTCCAGTTCTATGGATTACAAGAATAGGAGAAAATTGAAGTAGCAGTAGTAGCATTAGAGGGGGATGCATTGCTTTGGTACCAGTGAGAACAATGTAGAAGACCAATCCGTGACTGGGAAGACTTGAAAGATGGTGGTTCTCCGACAATTCCGATCGGTGAAAACAGGAACGTTGAATGAGCAGTGGTTATCTGTCACTCAAACAGGATCTATTCTAGAATATCAATAGAAGTTCATGGAATACTCAGCACCGTTAATTGGAGTAACAGAGGATGTGGCAATGGGTCAGTTTATTAATGGGCTGAAACATGAATTACGGGCTGAAGTTAGAATATTGGGCCCCAGAAGTTAGGACCAGGCTATGGAATTTGCAATTAAAATCGAATATAAATTCAATCCTTTATACCCCAAATCATCTACGTCGTCATATACCAAAAAAAACTCAATTATGGTCCAATACTCAAAATCGAACTTCTACGTCCTCATCAACTCCTGGCGGTGCAATTACAGCAGCAAAACCTGTTATTGCAGCTTCATACCCTAAATTTGGAAGAGAGATGAAACGACTATCGGAGAAAGAGTTACAAGAAAAGAAGGATAAAGGGCTCTGCTTCAAATGTGATGAAAAATGATGGGTAGGTCATCAATGTAAAAAGAAGGAACTCAGTATCATTTTAGCCGTAGATGAAGATAAGGATGAGGAAGACCTCGAAGAAGAGGCAGCAATAAACAGCACCACAGATGTATGTTTAAATTCTGTCTTAGGTATCATTAAACCTAAAAATATGAAGCTAAAAGGGATACTACAAAACGAGGAAGTGGTGGTCATGATAGACCCAGGAGCAACTCACAATTTCATTGCTCTCAAGACTGTCGAACGATTGCAGATTTCTGTAACAAACACCGGAGGATTTGGAGTGGCTTTAGGGACGGGGGTTGCTGTTCAAGGGCAAGGAGTATGCCAAGGAGTAACTCTGCAACTTGACTATCATTGAAGATTTTTTTACCCCTAACACTTGGAAACTCAGATGTCATCCTAGGGGTCCAATGGCTAGAAAAGTTAGGACCTGTTACGACTAACTAGTGGACTCAACTCATGCAATTCAAGGTGGATAGTAGAGCAACGACACTTCAAGGAGATCATTCTTTAGAATGTTCCAAGGTGGCTTTAAAAAACATGATGAAGACCTTACGCAGCATTAAAGAAGGATATCTGATCCAATTGAATCAAGTGGAAAAACCGGATAACAATGAAGGAAGATAGATTCCATAATTCATGACTGAATTATTGCATAGGTATCAGGATCTTTTTGAAATGCCCAAGGGGTTACCACCATCAAGAGGTTGGGAACATGCCATTTGGCTGCAAATAGGTACTAATCCTGTGAGTGTCAGACCCTATCGTTATCCTCAAAGTAAAAAAGAAGAGGTTAGTAAATTGATGGGAGAAATGCTTCAAGTCGGTATCATACAACCATCAATTAGTCCATTCTGGAGTCCGGTCTTACTAGTTAAGAAAAAAAACAGGGCATGGCGTTTTTTTTGGACTATAGAGCCTTCAATAAGGTTACAGTTGCAGATAAATATCCGATTCCAGTTATCGATGAATTGTTAGATAAGTTGCACGGAGCCAAGATTTTCACAGAACTTGACCTTAAGTCGGGGTATCATCAGACTCGAGTCAATCCGGAGGATGTCCCAAAAACAACATTCCGTACTCATAATGGTCATTACGAGTTTTTGGTAATGCCTTTTGGCTTAACCAATGCTCCAGCCACATTCCAATCATTGATTGACGATGTTTTTCGACCATTTTTACGTAAATTTGTGTTGGTATTTTTTTATAACGTTTTGATTTATAGCCGGTCAAAAGATCAACATTTGGGGCATGTGCAGCGTGTTTTTAGCATACTCAGGGAAAATCAATTGTATGTCAATCGCGAGAAATGTAATTTTGGTCAGGAGGCAGTTACCTACCTGGGGCATGTCATCTCCAGCTCGGGGGTAGCTGTTGACCCGGATAAAATATAAGCGATTATCAACTGGACTTCACCACAGAATTTGAGAGAATTAAGGGGGTTTCTTGGGCTTATTACCGGTTATTATTGAAAATTTATACGGAGATCTGCTTCTGTGGCAGCACCAATGACAGAATTATTAAAGAAAGGAAACTTTAACTGGTCAACAACAGCGAGTTGGCGTTTCAGCAGGTAAAACAGATCATGACAAAAGCTCCGGTTTTGGCGATGCCAGATTTCACAAGAGATTTCATTATTGAGGCTGACACTTCAGGATATAGAATGTGCGGTATGTCAGCAACAAAAAAATTCTACTACACGTCCCTCCAGCTTGCTACAACCTATTAATTTACCTAATCAAGTTTGGGAGGCGGTTACAATGGATTTTATGAGGCATTACCCAAATCCCATGGGGCTGATGTAATACTTGTTGTGGTAGATCGATTATCCAAATACGCCCATTTTTTGAACCTGACACCCCTTTACCGCTGAAACAGTAGCCCGATTATTTGTCAAAGAAATTGTGAAACTCCATGGTTTTCCCACATCTATTGTGTCAGATAGAGACTGCATTTTTCTTAGTAAGCTTTGGCGAGAATTGTTTCATTTGTAGGGTCCTACGACCCACAAACTGATGGACAATCAGAAGTTATGAATAAGACATTGGAGACTTACTTACGTTGTTTCATTAATGGCAGCTCCAAGGAGTGGGCCCGTTGGTTATCTTGGGCAGAGTATTGGTACAATACATCTGACCATGTATCTATCCTATGTGCACCATTTAAAGCCTTGTATGGCAGGGATCCGCCTAAAGTTATCAAATATGAAGTGGGACAAACCGTTGTAGCTTCCTTTGAAAACCAATTATTGGAGCGAGATGCAGTTCTAGATGATCTCAAATTTAACTTAATGCGTGCTCAACAACGCATGAAAACTATGGAGGACAAATAAAAGAAAGGAGGTGGAGTACAAGGTAGGAGATAAGGTGTATCTCAAATTACAGCTTTACCGACAAAAAATCAGTGATGAACCGTGCTTGTGAGAAGTTAGCTCCACGTTTTTATGGCCCATTTACTGTTAGTCAACGGATTGGATCTTCCCGTAGGAACTCAAATACACCCTGTTTTTCATGTGTCACAGCTGAAGCTTGCTGTAGGGGATCACTCTGTACTTCAAAAGTTACCTGTTACGATTGAGGAAACTATAGACTTGCAGGTGGAACCAGAAGAGTTGTTAGTAGTGCGACTCAGGGAACTACCAGATGGCAATCAACAGGAAGTGTTAATCAAATGGCAGAAATTACCACCCACTGAAGCAACTTGGGAGGACCTGACTCCAATAAATCATCAATTTCCGTCATTCCACCTTACTCAAGGAAGGATAACAAAGGAAATAAACAATTACTCACTTATTCAAGAAAGGGCAAGAAAGGAAAGTAAATGTGAATAAGCAATTCGTGAGAAGCAGGGGCAATTAAGTAATTTACTTTTTTCAGTTATGTTCTTTATATAGTCAGTGAGGGGATCATTGAGTTAAGTTGTAGTTTATTTTCTTTGGGAGACCCCTGGCATCTCGAACTGCCAGAATTTCTATCTTTTATGCAATCTTTTGATTACAGTTTTATTAAGTTAGTTTGTTGAATCCCAAAATTCTCTATAATCTAACTTGTTATTCTGTTTGATTAATTATAACAAGTGAGATCTTAGCAAAACCACAACAAAATTATTAGAATCCTTCATCGATTACACAAATTGTTTTTAATCCATCAGAAATCACTACCAAATCGCAAAAAATATTTTAATTTAAAACAGATTGGTGATTTTGTATTGGTGTAAATCCATTTCCATAGTGGAAGGAGAGTGATTGAAGTGTTGATCATCGTTGAGGTGGATATCAAATAAAACGTATGTATTGGTTTCTTTTCTCGCCTTCTTTCTCATCATTGAAGTGGATATCGATTAAAACGTATTTAGGTTCACTAGCACATGCTTGTTCAAAAAATGTGATTATAGTGCATAACAAGTGTTTGATGAAATGCATGAATGAATTTTTTGAATTTAATGCTTCATTCTTGTTTGGCTAATTTTTCATATTAAGATACAACCTCTTTGTATATGGTACTAAGTCAGTAACCTCTTAGCCTCTTATGATAAGATTAGCTCAGGATGATTCCAAAATACTAATTTCATTGAAATCATTAAGTAGCACTCCAACATTGTCCGAGTTGTCTGCCATTTTAGTGAGCATACAGAAAACGCTTATGTAGAACATTGCTTTAGAACCAATGATAAACTATTTAAGATCCTTCAACATATAACTGTTAGGGGTTTTTTATTTATTTAGTGTTGAGATTAATTGCAACGGATACCAACAGAATATATAAATATTTTTTGTATGTATGATGTAAGAGTATTGGTTTCTGGATTTGAGTCTATGTCTATTTTCACATGCATTGGAGAACAAATATTTGTGCATCAGGTCAAGTGTATGATGGATGACCTGCATCTTGTAATTTGACTCTATTGCTATTTGTAACTTGAGATTGTGTTTCTGTATATATTGTTTAAAAACTTTATTGAAATTTGTATTTGAGTAGAAAAGTTATCATTTGTATTTGATATATTTTCCTATTGTTTTATTTATGTGTAAACCAAAAGTAAAATAACAGAGGCGCCTAAGAAAATTTTGATGCAATTATTCATATACTCTTTGCTCAAAAACGATCACATACACAATTATAGTTATACTACATGGTGCTATAAAACATATGAAAAGTTTTTTAACCATTAGGAAATCAAACTAATACATATAATCTAGATGCATCATAGGAAACTCAAGAAAATTACACATTGGAAGTACACAGTATCAGGCAACCAGAGATGTCAATTCAAAGCAGATCCTTCATGAAGAGATTTGAAACTTGGCGCATTGTTGGCCTTTCTTTTGGATTTGAGTTCAAACATGCTGTTGCGATATTAAGTACTAAATTTACTTGTTTCTCAACTTGTGGTGACGGAAGTGGAATCCGACTATCTCCTACATTTGCTAACACCAGATAATCAACAGACAACGTTGGTAGTTCACCGGGATGCTTTCCCATGATCACTTCTAGTGCAACAATCCCAAAGCTATACACATCACATTTCTCGGTTGCCACCATCGTATAAGCAAGCTCTACATCCAATGAGACATAAGATAAAAAAAAGTTTTATCAACCCCACATGATTCTATGAAAATTTTGAACTACAATCACATGATTATGTTACCTGGTGCGATATAACCATAGGTCCCAGCAATTGCGGTCCAATTGGATGAGTCTAGCTTTAAAAGCTTGGATGTGCCAAAATCAGAAATATGTGCCTCATAATCAGAATCAAGAAGGATGTTGGCAATGGAAATGTATCTATGAATTATAGAAGGCGAGTAGTCGTGATGCATATAAGCTAAACCATTAGCTGTAGCCTTTACAATATTGACCCTTTTCAACCAATCCAATTCTTTTGCTAAGACATCACTTCTTAAGATTGATCCAAGGCTTCCCTTTTCAAGGTACTCATAAATCAAAAATGAGTGGCAGGCATGTGAGCAATATCCATAAAGTTTCACTATGTTTCGATGCCTTATGTTCGTTAATGCTCGTACCTCATTAAGGAATCCATTATGATCAACATTCTCAGATGATGAGTGAAGTTTCTTGACTGCTACCACATTTTTAGGTTGTAGCTCGGCTTTGTACACAGTCCTATATCCTCCGGTCCCAATAGCATATGCTTCATGAAAATTGTCCGTTGCTTTCAAGATATCATCATACACTACTCCTCCATCAAAACTTATTATGGAGAAATAATCACCACCTTCTTGTCCAATGGTTTCTGTGGAGAATGTCTCTTTTGTTTTCGATAAGCAATGAAGCCACATATGAATAAACCAAGTAAAATTACCCCGATAAGAGGGAGCATAATTACCAGGATGAGCCGATGATGAAAGGGATCATTTTTCTTCTTCAGGATTTGACTTGCACACAATTCTAGTCCTGTAAAATTTCCACACAAACCTGGATTGCCTTGTAAGGACGCGTTCACAAAGTTGGAGCAAAGGGGAACTGGACCTGTGAGCTCATTGTTGGACAGGTCGATGTCAATCCCACTAGGCAAACTTGTAAAACCGTTAGGAATAGAACCAAATAGTCTATTGTGAGAAAGATTCAACTTTTGTAGATTTTTCAAACTTTGAACTTCAGATGGTATCACTTCTGTGAGCCAATTCTGAGATAAATCAACTTCTGTAAGTTGAAATAATTTGCCAATTTCAGATGAAATTTTTTCACCGAGCATGTTATTACTAAGATTCAAGTAGTGGATATATTCCCATTGACTAATACTTCTTGGTATTGACCCATTCAATCTATTTGTAGATAGATCGAGTACTTCAAGGAGTTCTAAAGATCCGAGTTGTGGAGGTATAATACCTGAAAGTTGGTTATTAGCCAAGGATAAATTCAGCATTCTTTTCATCTTCCCAAACTCCTTTGGGATTTCACCGACCAACTGGTTGGATGAAAGATCAAGCCTTTGGAATTGAGTTGAATGTGCAAACTCTGGTGGTATGCTACCACTGATATTGTTATTGGCCATCACTAAGGTTGCCAAATTCTTGCATTGACTCCAGTTTTGAGAAAGCTGCCCATGAAAATTATTGTGACTGATATCTAGATATTTTAAGCGTGGATAGATGCCAAGGCTATTGGATATATCTCCAATGAATTGATTTTGATCAAAACGAGCCCTAATTAAGCTGGAACAATTCTGTAAGCCTCTTGAAATAGGCCCAGTGAGATGATTAGCATTTATTGTGAACTTTTGAAGCTTTCCCCCATGGCACAAATCTTCTGGTAAATGGCCACAAAAATGATTATTTGACAGCTCAAGTGTCTCTAGACTTCCCAATCCTAGTGGAATCGAACCAAATAGTTTATTTGTGTGAAGGTACAGAGTCTGTAGCTTGCTGAGGTTTCCTAGTGATGAAGGAATGGCACCACTAAGTTGATTTGTGTGAAGGGATAGAGTCTGTAGCTTGCTGAGGTTTCCTAGTGATGAAGGAATGGCACCACTAAGTTGATTGTAACTCAAACAAAGATTAGTGAGAGACTTCAAATTCCCAAGTTCAATAGGAATGGGACCAGAGAGTTGATTTTCGTCGAAATAAAGGACATTTAAAGATGTCAAATCACCCAATGATGAAGGAATGGAACCACTAAGCTGATTCCCTCTAACTTGAAGATGAATGAGAGAGTTCAAATTCCCAAGTTCAATAGGAATAGGACCAAAGAGTTGATTTTCGTTCAAATAAAGGGCATTTAAAGATATCAAATCACCCAATGATGAAGGAATAGAACCACTAAGTTGATTGTAACTCAGACCAAGCTTAGTGAGAGACTTCAAATTCCCAAGTTCAATAGGAATGGGACCACAAAGTTGATTTTCGTCTAAATAAAGGACATTTAAGGATGTCAAATCACCCAATGATGAAGGAATGGAACAATTAAGTTGATTGTTGCTCACCTGAAGATCAGTGAGAGACTTCAAATTCCCAAGTTCAATAGGAATGGGACCAGAGAGTTGATTGTGGTGCAAATAAAGGACATTCAAAGATGTCAAATCACCAAATGATGAAGGAATGGAACCATTAAGCTGATTGTTGCTCACCGCAAGATCAGTGAGAGACTTCAAATTCCCAAGTTCAATAGGAATGGGACCAGAGAGTTGATTTTCGTCGAAATAAAGGACATTTAAAGATGTCAAATCACCCAATGTTGAAGGAATGGAACCATTAAGCAGATTGTTGCTCACCTCAAGATCAGTTAGAGACTTCAAATTCCCAAGTTCAATAGGAATGAGACCAGAGAGTTGATTTTTGTACAAATAAAGGACACTCAGATATGTTAAATCACCCAATGATGAAGGAATAGAACCATTAAGTTGATTCTTGTACATGGCTAGCTTAGTGAGAGAACTCAAATTTCCAAGCTCAATTGGAATGGGACCAGAGAGTTGATTTTTGTGCAAATGAAGGACATTCAAAGATGTCAAATCACCCAATGATGAAGGAATGGAACCATTAAGCTGGTTGTTGCTCACCAAAAGATCAGTGAGAGACTTCAAATTACCAAGTTCAATAGGAATGGGACCAGAGAGTTGATTTTCGTCTAAATAAAGGACATTTAAAGATGTCAAATCACCTAATGATGAAGGAATGGAACCATTAAGCAGATTGTTGCTCACCTCAATATCAATTAGAGACTTCAAATTCCCAAGTTCAATAGGAATGAGACCAGAGAGTTGATTGTGATGCAAATAAAGGGCATTCAAATATGTCAAATCACCCAATGATGAAGGAATGGAACCATTAAGCAGATTGTTGCTCACCACAAGATCAGTGAGAGACTTCAAATTCCCAAGTTCAATAGGAATGGGACCAGAGAGTTGATTGTGGTGCAAATAAAGGACATTCAAAGATGTCAAATCACCAAATGACGAAGGAATGGAACCATTAAGCAGATTGTTGCTCACCACAAGATCAGTGAGAGACTTCAAATTCCCAAGTTCAATAGGAATGGGACCAGAGAGTTGATTGTGGTGCAAATAAAGGACATTCAAAGATGTCAAATCACCCAATGACGAAGGAATGGAACCATTAAGCAGATTGTTGCTCACCACAAGATCAGTAAGAGACTTCAAATTCCCAAGTTCAATAGGAATGGGACCAGAGAGTTGATTGTGGTGCAAATAAAGGACATTCAAAGATGTCAAATCACCCAATGACGAAGGAATGGAACCATTAAGCAGATTGTTGCTCACCACAAGATCAGTGAGAGACTTCAAATTCCCAAGTTCAATAGGAATGGGACCAGAGAGTTGATTGTGGTGCAAATAAAGGACATTCAAAGATGTCAAATCACCCAATGATGAAGGAATGGAACCATTAAGCAGATTGTTGCTCACCTGAAGATCAGTGAGCGACTTCAAATTCCCAAGTTCATTAGGAATGGGACCAGAGAGTTGATTGTGGTGAAAATAAAGGATATTCAAAGATGTCAAATCACCCAATGATGAAGGAATGGAACCATTAAGCAGATTGTTGCTCACCTCAAGATCAGTGAGAGACTTCAAATTCCCAAGTTCAATAGGAATGGGACCAGAGAGTTGATTTCGGAACAAATAAAGGACATTCAAAGATGTCAAATCACCCAATGATGAAGGAATTGTGCCAGATATATTGTTTGAATATTTGCGTAAGATGGTTAACTGGCGCAGGTTTCCTATTTCAGGTGGGATTACTCCAGAAAACTTATTCACTGAAAAATCAAGATATACAAGTTTGGAGAGGAGTCGGATTTCTGGTGGGATGGGGCCAAAGAAGTTGTTTATAGTGAGATCAAGATATGTAAGATTGTGTAGCAAAGAGAATGGAAATTGGTGGAGTGTACCGTTTAAGCCACATGAACTGAGGTTTAGCCTCTGAGTGCTCCCATCAGCATTGCAAACTACTCCAAACCAAGAAGTGCATGGAATTAATGCACTAGAATTCAAAGGGAGGGAAATCCATGAAGAAACCAAGGAATTGTTTGGGATTTGAAGGCTTTTTTTCCATTTAAGAAGAGCATTGGCTTCCTCTAAAGAAGAAGAAGCAAAATTTGGTATGGGGGAGAGTGTGAGGATTAGTAGAGCTAGTGAGAAAAGTAAGAAGTTTGAAGATGACATTATTTGCTTTGCAATGCTGGTTTTTGAAAAAGGATGATTTGAATGTCGTAATTTATACTTCAGCCATGCATTTCTCTTGTTTTATATTTTCCCTTGTCAAATAAAATAAATTAAAATAAAAATTAGGCAATGCCATATTTTTCCAGAGCGTCCTGTACTGAGAAGTCATTGTCATACTTTTCCAAAAGGAGTGTGTTAAACTTTTAATGGTATTTCTCATAGAATTTTAGAAAAACCTGAAGGTTAATAAAGAAATTAGCTATAGGTGTCAGCAAGAAGACAATTGTATCATATGTGAATCATGGAAATAGAAGTGTAACACTAATATTATTTCAATTGATTTGGTACACATTTATATTTGTTTTTCAATTAATTGTAATTAAAAGGTTCAATCGTAAAGCAAATGTACCTATCAAAGTGATTATTATGTGAAACTGTGTATACTCATTACTATTGTTTCAAATTACATACCATGGTAATTTAAAAAATTTTCGGAATTCATCTTCTGTAATAGAAAACTTATTACTGGAAAACTTATTCTATGGTCAAATCTTATTCATTGGCTCATTGCTTCAAATACTGTACTGTACAAGTAACTAAAGCACAAAGGAATGTGGTTTCATCGTTTTAATCTTCTGGGCTAACCAACTCCTACGAATTGCTTCAATCACCGGTGAATGAATGAGGTTTCTCTATGGTGTCTAAGAAGACGCTTGAATCACTTGTAAGTTTATGACGCTTCCATGGAGGTGAATGTTAGTATAAAAATTTAATATCGTTTGTATATTTATTGATTATCCATATAACACTGAATGGATAAGTTGCAGGGTACAAGTGAGTGAAGCATGCTAAAGAGATGGTAGAATCTGAATACCTCCATCTTTATTCAGTGAAGCTACCTGGAAAATACATAACCACAAGGACCATTTTTATAATTTACTGTAATTAAAAAAAAAAAAAGAATCAATCAACAAAACTTTCAATCATTTAATAAATGGGACACATTAATTGTTATGTGAAGACAAGAGGGAACATATACAATTATACAAAGCGAAGTGGAGTGTGCTTTATTTCATTAATCAATGTTATTTACCGGATGACTAATTAAGTTACTTTAAAGATGCGCCAATTGTGAGGGCTACTTTAAGAGACTATAAAAAATGAATGCTCCTGGCATATTCTTTTAAGGTATGAACAAATGGAAAAAAGATTTAGAAACTTTATTTCATCCATATCTTTGTTATCACCTCCTGGGCTGTTAGTCATTAATTTTCTATCATGAACATTTAAAATAATGTCACATTCTAACATTATGAAGATAACTAAAGAAAAGGTTAAAAGCAACTTTATTTTTAAACAGATTAGGATTTTTTTTTTAATTTATATTCAAAATTAAGTAGATCCACATAGGGGTACAAATTCAATATCACCCCTATCTTTGGGTGCTTAGAATTTACATTTGGTTTTGTGATTTTTGGATGCAAACCGTGTACCCACAGATACCTGTACCTAGGGATATATTTAATTTTATAGGTCTAGATTATTCGAATCAATTAGATTTACACATTTGCAATGTCAATATCTTGTAAAGACACTACAAGAAATTAGACTATTACCAACGACAGGTGTCGTCGCTAAAAGCGGGGCTTGTCGCCACTAAAACGTCGACGTTGATGTTTTGTCGCTATTAATCAAACTGTCACCGCTAATAAGCTCATGTCGTCGCTAAAGACATGACGCCGCTAATAAGCTCATGTCGCCGCTAAAGACCCGTCACCGGTAATAAACTATTGTCGCCGCTAAAGGTGTCGCCGGTATTGGTGTTTTTCTTTTATATATATATATATATATATATATATATATATATATAATATAATATATATATATATATATATATATATATATATATTTCACATTAAAATTGAAAAAAACTGGTATGACATTAATTAATCTAATCCTATATCATTCCAATCCAAAATATTAATACAATATCCGTTTAAAATACTCGTCCGATTTAACATATAACAAAATATCGAAAATACTAGTCTAAAATAGTTGCACAAACAAAACATAAAAAAATCCTACAACTATCTACTCGTCATCATCGCTCTCCTCGTTTCCTCCGGTTTCATTTCGTTGTGGGAACGAACGAAACCAATCTTCAAGTGCAGCACTACATGCCGGATCTTTGAACATTGTTTGAAGCATTTTCAACTACAAATAAAACAACATATTCTTATAAGTTAAAATAGCATTATAACATTCTATATACAAAATATACATTCCACATATTGCATATAAAACATTATAGCATTATACTATAACTAACAATTACCAACCTACAAAATACCATTACAACATTGTACTTTTATAAACTAACAATTTCCAAGCTATAAAATACCAATATATTAAACTATAACCAAACTAACAATTACCAATATATAAACTATTATCAAACTAACAATTACCAAAATTTGAAACTATTACTAAACCAACAATTACCAACATTTTAAACAATTACATAAATTAAATAGTCTTGTCACCTGTGATTGTGGTGGTGGCTATGTCAGTGGTTGTCCCTGATCGTACATCGACATAACCGTAGAAGGTTTACGCCCGATGCCTTTGATATGGCCATGTCGAACACCCAATATTTTTTCAAAACAATTTTGTCCGCTGGCTTCAGAAGAAGCTTGAGTTTGTTGACTGATCTCAAAGAGTAAAGCATTCTGTATTTTCAAAAAATAATAAATATAATAAAAATTAGATTACTAAGTACCCCTTGATGGTATAAACACTTATATGAAAATACAAATTAACCACTTACGTATTGTTGCTCGACTGCTGGACTACTAAATACCCCTTGGCGATCAGTATTGGCCTTATGAAATGCTTCGATTCGAGCGATGTCCTATTTAACATTAAAAATTAGATTAATTATGATTTAAATAAATAGATAAATATATCATAGCTTACTTCTTTGAAACATGCATTGATATACGAGCACGATCCCCCTCTGTTTACAACTTGTTGTTGTGCGCGGACTCCTTTATTTGACGCCGAACGCTTTAGAAATTCAGGAGTTTGAAAATGCCCGACTGCTTGCGCCCAATTTTCACGTGACATACCATGGGGTGGGGGGGGGGGTTGGCTAATGCCTTTGGGATATTTGTAAGCCCCACGACATTCTCAAAATAAGTATGCGCTTTATTTTTCCGGCCTCTATAAATTCTTTGCAAAGTCGCATCAATGCTCTGCAACAACTGAGTACGCTCGGGATTCAAGTTAACCTTATCTAAATCAAACTTATTCTACAAATAAAAAAACTTAGTTAGTTAAATATCAATTAGAACTAAACTTAAAATATTGTCCAAGTTACCTTTAGATGAACCAGTGTGGTATTCTTTAAAGCAGGGGAAACATTATCCCAACCAGATACGTTCAAAGGGATGTTCATCCATACATACTTCCCAATCTCATGGGTAAACCAATTACCATGGTTCCCAACAAGGGAATATTTTAGCTCCCTATCGAAATCCAAATCTACGGGCTTTCCCTTGTTTGCTCGTATTATCTTTGATAGTTGAATGTTTTTTTGCTAGGCCTCTTCTTTTTTTAGGGAGCTCGGCTTATAAATATAATTCAAAATATTAATCACGATAGCTTATAATAAATGGATAAAAATAGCTAACAAATATATCATAATAAGGCTTACCATCCTGTTCGTGTTGACCACGACCAAAGCCTACTGGAGGTGGTGAATCTCCGGCTCCATCACCTCCATGTTCTAAGCCCATAACATCCGCCATCACGTAGAAGAGTATCGCTCAACTAAACCTCATATATAGCCTGCAAAATTACAATATGAACAGAATTTGCACATATTACATATACAAAAATAATACAATTTCTATTATAACATTGTAGTTTCCAAATTGCATACAGATACATATACAAAATAGCATCACACTTTTTTTTGCATTATTGCATGCTTCTTTTTTGTTCAATTTTTTCCATGCAAAAATTCATTATACAAATATAACCTTTATAAAAAATATCATTTATAGAACTTTAAAAGTGTAATAACTCAAAAAAAAAAATGGTACGAAATTGATCATAATACCTTTGTGGATCATTTTCTTCATGCTACAAATATAATTAACCAACATATACTTCTAAATACAAAATCATACAAATTCATCTAAATACATTTCCATGCACAAATTAAAATTACTACAAAAACTATAACTTATCAATTAAAAACTTTATCACTTCATCTTATATACACCAAACTATTAAACCTAAATATCACATAATCATACATATATACAATAGATTCAATTCCATTTTTTCATTTCATTTTAGACATACAATACAACTTTCATATTCCCTTTGACATAAAATTAAACAAGACATCCAATTTCATACAACACATCCAATTCAAATTCCAATTTCAAACAATTAAGCAATACATCTAATTTCATATTTCTACCATTTTACACATCCAATACCAATTTCATAGAAAAATATACACCTAAATACACAATCACACAAACCATGTATAATTCCATTTTCATGCCCATACACCACAATGAGTATAAGCACAAATCAATTATACAATAGGCTGCATAAAATATGATAAAACATACATAATCATTCAAAAATCATCAATTTACAGCCAAACAAGAGGCTTGATCGATACTCAAAATCACTAACCAAAAAAATCTTAGAAAACATAGAAATCAATGATACAATCAGGTTTGAATGATAAAACTAACATCAAAACACAAGAAGAACATAAATCAGGGAATGAAATTCGACCTTAGATTGCTCAATTTCATTGAAATGTTGTTGTGGTTGGAATTGCCCTCAATAAACTCGATGGTCGCCGGTAATGAGGGTGGGTCACCGGTAAACAAGGTCGGTTGCCGGTAAAGTGGCTCCCGGCGGTCGGAATCGTAATGGGGTGCAGATGGCCCAGGTAGTCGGAGTTCTTTGAGAGATTCAATGATAGAAGGAAAGAAGGGTCGACTGGGGGTTATCTAACGCAACTCAATAGCAGCGGCAGGCAATAGCGGCGACAGGAGGGTTTTAGCGACGACATAGGGGTTTTAGGAGTTTACAACCGTAGGATTGAATAATGATCGAACGGACAGAGATTATTTCACACGGAACACCACTGTGTTAGCAATAGCGGCAACACCTTTAGCGGCGACAAAGGGGTTTTAGCAGCGACACCCCTGGATGGAAAAGAAAGCACGTGTTGTAGGAGTTTTGAACCGTAGGATTGAATAATGATCGAACGGAAGGGGATTATTTCACGCGGATAGCCACTGTGTCATCAATAGTGGCGACACCAAACAATAGCGGTGGCATGTAACGCGTCAATTACATGTCACCGCTATTGCTTGGCATCGCCACTAAAGGTGTTGCTGCTATTGCTAACATTTCTTGTAGTGAGATCTTTTGAATCCACATAATGAAATGATGTTGTAGGTCCTTTCACATACCCACATTATTTTCTTGGAACAACAACTTATTGAAAGCGAGGCTTTCCACCAAGAGGCTAGAAAACAAAATTTTGGTGATAGTCTTTATCAGGGGGTGTGAGAAACGTTTAGTGGATATTTAAAGTTTAAAGTTGCTTCAATTACTTGAATAGCAATTTTGATCATGTTTCCTAGATAATCAATAAACTATAAGCACCTTTTTTTCCCTGTTCAAATACCCTTTAAGAAAAGGGTGAACATGCGAAAATGTGTTTGCAACTTACATTAGTTCAAACTTTAAAAGCTAAATGCTAAAAACGATTTTTAATTTTTGAAGCTACTTTTTTTTTACAATTTTCAAGTATGTTTTTTTGAGGGGCACATCTCGATTTTCTTAATTTGAACAATATAATATGCGAGACAAAATTAAAAATCAAATGAATAGAACCTGAGAAAGAGCTACTGTCCTCCAAAAATACAGAAAGGGCATCATGACAAAGGCAAGTTAGTGTTTTGCTCCAATCAACTTTCAAGTATATGTTTTCATGTGAATTGCAATGCCAATAGATAGGGAATTAGGCATAATCGATTCCATCTCCATTCTCCTTGTCTTCTGTGTTGTTTATAAAGTGCTGCAATTTTCTTTTTCCCAAATTGTCGACTTCTTTGTAAGCCTTACTGCTGGTGACATCATATCTTCACTGCCTCGTCCCTTGTTAGATTTTGGTCAGTGTTATACTTATTTTGTTGGAGTTACGTATGTTTGATAGAAGATGGCAGTCACATCCTATTCTGGCCAAGATCAAAGTCAGTTAAAATCGAGCAAAATCTGTCAAAAAGTCAAATATATCAAAAAATTTAAAATAAGTAAACAGTAAAATTCAAAAGTAATCCGAAACTAGTACCTAATTTGAACTTTATGACTCTATTTGTTCTTCTCTCCTTCTGCTATTCGTCTCTCTGTCTTAATTTCTCCCTCTGGATAAGTTTTTATTTATTTATTTATTTATTTATTTATTATCTTTTCTCTTCCTTCTCACATCCATCTCTCATTCTCACCCTCATTGTACTATTGTTAAACACCAGAATATGACATTTTATCTTCTCTTCCTTATGATTATTCCTTACACCCTAGTCGATCGATTGAATATCATCTAGCGAATTTTACAACCTCAGTTGTGTAATATGATGTTCAAATGAAATGAACGAAGACGTTTTATATATGAAAAACATGTAACTTCTAGTTAAACTAATTAGTAAGTTGGTGTGTAAATGTTCCACGCTGTGAAAAGTTGCTTTGACATTCAATCCTTGTTTTTGTATATGAATGAGTTACGTAGCGTAGGGGTATATAGCATAAAAAAAAGTATTACTGACTTGCCTACAATCTTTGGCAACCCTCTTGAATTTGAGTTTTATGGTATGGAGTTTGGTGGAAGGTTAAAGCATTATGCCAATTTAGGAGACTAGAAGATCGATGAAAAAACAATTGTTAAACTGAAACTGGAGTTGACGGCCAAAGTAAATATAAAAAAGAGAACACTTTTCAAGTATTTTAAATTTAACTTTTATTTGTTTTTTGACATTAAGTCAGGGTAACTAATTCCACATCTCTTAGTTTAAGATTTTTCAAAGTTCTATTGGTGTTTGTATTTGAGTTTTCATCTATTTCAGGTAAACAGTAGAAAATTAATTTTTTGATATAATTAATTTACCGATGTTATTTTCGCTACTTTTTACATTTATTGGAAATCCAAGTGATGGGAAAACTTGTTAAATTTCACCTGAAGATTATTCAGCAACAGATTTGTCCTTGACAAATACTAGATTTTCCAGAAGTGGAGCTTGTAAACAGATGTCAATCTTCACAAACATATTTGTTTATCTACTACATACTGATTTAAGGAAACATATGAGAAGTTTCATAACAAAAAGGCATTCAAATAAATAAATATTATCAGGATGCATATAGGGAACATGACCAAAGAAAAGAACATTGAATGTAGTTTAATATGAGGCCTTCATCAATAGATTTGAAACGGTGCGCATTGTTGGCCTTTCATTTGGATTGGAGTTCAAACATGCTCTTGAGAGATTGAGTACTAAGTTTACTTGTTTCTCAACTTGTGGTGAAGGAAGTGGAATCCGACTATCTCCAACATTTGCCAACACCAGATAATCAGCAGGCAATGTTGACATTTCTCGGTTGCCACCATCGTATAAGCAAGCTCTACATCCAAAGAAACATAAGATACAAACAAAAAAAAAAGTTATATCAACCTCATGAGATTCTAACATAGATACATATATGTATATATACTTATTCATATATATCATGAAACTTCAGAAAATAAATGTAGAACTAACATCACACAATTACGTTACCTGGTGCGATATAGCCATAGGTACCTACGATTGTGGTCCAGTTGGATGAGTCTAGCTTTAAAAGCTTGGATGTGCCAAAATCTGAAATATGTGTCTCATTGTAAATAATAAATTCCCTTGAAATATAGCTGATCTATTATTCACGTATATATATGGAGTACATAGGTTTATAGATAAGTACAACAACTAAAACAGATAAGACTTTATATTTAAACTAAGATGATAAAAGCTATCTGCTAATACCCCCCGTCAAGCTAATGGGTGGTGGTCCAACTCTTAGCTTGGATCGAAACTGATCAAAGAGGGGTCTGGGAAGACTTTTAGTGAATATATCAGCTAGCTGCAAGTGTGTAGGAGCGTGTTTTGTTTTGAGTTTGCCAGAAGCTACGAATCTGCGAACCAAGTGATAATCAATGTCGATGTGTTTTGCCCGTTTGTGTGCAATTGGATTTTGACTAAGGAACAGAGAACTCTTGTTGTCACACAGAAGAGTCGGAACTGTAGATGCTAAAGCATGAAGTTCACGTAACAAGTGAGTTATCCAAACTATTTCCGAAGCAGTTTCCGAAGCGGTGTTCACCATGGCTTGATATTCAGATTCACAACATGACCTGGATACAGGAGGTTGCTTCTTGGCACTCCAAGATACAAGGTTACCACCTAGAAAAATGGAGTAACCATATGTGGATCGTCTCGTCTCTATACAACGAGCCTAGTCAACATCCGAGTAACCAAGGATTGAAGAGGATTAGGGTTGACAAAAATGCAAGCCATAAGAGAGTATGCCTTGCACTACAAGAAATATCAGTATTAGCGGCGACGCCTTTAGCGGCGACACCGAGTATTAGCGGCGACATGTAATTGACGCGCTACATGTCGCCGCTAATACTCGGTGTCACCGCTAAAGGCGTCGCCGCTAATGATGCTACAGTGTCGATCCGCGTCAAATCAACCCTGTCCGTTCGATCTTTTTTTAATCCAACGGTGGGAAATGAGGAAAAATGGCGCTGTGTTTTCCCTCCAGGGGTGTCGCCGCTAATACCCTATTGTCACCGCTGAAACCCTAGCGTCGCCGCTAATACTCATCGCAGATAACCCCCCAACTGCGTCACTTTCGTGTTCATTCTGCTTCCTTTCACTCCTCCAAAGTAAACGGCGACTGCACCTCCGACGACCTCGTTTGCGCCACAGGACTCATCTCCGGCAACCATTACCGCCGGCCACTAGTGGAGCTCCATTATTACCGGCAACCACACTCATTTCCGGCGACCACACTCATTTCCGGCGACAAAAGTTCAATTTAAGGTCCGATTTCTTCCATATTTTCTATTAGTTTAAGTGTTTAATTTAATGTTTTTTGCTGCATCTATTGCCGGAAAACTGGATTTCTTACCGGAAAATCGCTAAATTACACTACCACAGGTTCCTTTTCATGAATTTTGAGATTATATATTTGATTTGTATGCTTTTGTATGTTATTTGTATTGTTATTATTTGGAATTTGCAATGAATTGTCGCGGAATTTTTTATGTGTTATTTGTATGTTTTGTGTGTTTTTTGTATAGTTATTATTTGGAATTAGGTTGCTATAATAGAAAAATAAGTATGATGCTATAATGAATATGTGTAGGAAAATGTTTATATGTATTTGTATGTATAGTGTGTATCTATGTATGTAATGTATGAAAAACAAAGTGTGTATATTACAAAGAGTAATTTTCAAATCAAATTTAATATTTATGTGGTATTTTTATGTTTTTGTGTGTTTTTTGTATGATTATTATTTGGAATTAGGTTGCTATAATAGAAAAAGAAGTATGATGCTATAATGAATATGTGTAAGAAAATGTTTATATGTATTTGTATGTATAGTGTGTGTATCTATGTATGTAATGTGTGAAAAACAAAGTGTGTATATTACAAAAGAGTAATTTTCAAATCAAATTTAATATTTATGTGGTATTTTAGTTTTAAAATTATTCATAATCATAAATTGCTTTGTAAAAGTATTAAATTAAATTTTCTATTATTAATTTAGATATTAAATATAGTTATAAGAAATATTGTTATTTACAATCATAAATTGTTTTGTAACGGAGGTGATGGCCGATATTATGGGCCTTGGTCACGGTGGTGATGGAGCTGGGGATCCACCATCTCTGGAAGGCTTTGGTCGCGGGCAACATGAACAGGATGGTAAGTTTTGTTATGATATATTTAATAGCTATTTTAATTAATTTATTATAAGTTATCGTGACTAATATTTTTAATTGTATTTTTTCAGTCGAGCTTCCAAAGAAAAGAAGGGGCTTGTCAAAGAATATAGAGCTAGGAAAGTGGATAAGGGCAAACAAGGGAAAGACTGTGGATTTGAATTTTGACAGGGAGATCACATATTCCCCTGTCGGGAAGCCTGCTAATTGGTTCACACATGAAATTGGGAGGTATTTTTGGAACAACGTCCCTTTAAACGTATCTGGTTGGGACAATGTTTCCCCCGCGTTAAGGAATGCGACAGTTATGCATCTAAAAGTAACTTGAATAATATTTTATTTGAATAATATTTTAAGTTTCTTTGTGATTGTTATTTAATTAACTAACTTTTTTGTATTTGTAGAATAAGTTTGATTTGGATAAGGTTAACTTGGATCCGGAGCGTGCACAATTGTTGCGGAGTATTGATTCGAGTCTTGCAAAAGTTTACAGAGGCCGAAAAAGTAAAGCTCATTCTTATTTTAAGGATATCGGGGGGCCTGCAGATATCCCAATGGCACTAAACAACCCCCCCAATGGTATGTCACTAGAAAATTGGGCGAAGGCAATCGAACATTTTCAATCTCCCGAATTTTTAAGTCGTTTAGCGTCAAACAAAGAAGTCCGTGCAAAACAACTAGTTGTAAACAGAGGGGGGTCGAGCTCGCACAATAATGCATGCTTCAAAGAAGTAAGTTATGATATATTTACATGTTTATTTAAAGTATAATAAATCTTTTTTTTTGTTAAATAGGATATCACTCGAATCGAAGCATTCCGTAAGGCTAATTCCAATCGCCAAGGGGTGTTTTATAGTCCTGCAGTTGAGCAACAATACGTAAGTGGTTAATTTGTATTTTCATATACGTTTTTATATCGTCATGGGTATTTAGTAATATATTTTTATGATGTTTATCATTTTTTGAAAATACAGAATGCTTTACTTCAGGAGATCAATCAACAAACCCAAGCTTCTTCTTCAGCAAGCGGTCTAACGCCAAGTGATACAAGAAAATGTTTTGAAAAAATATTGGGTGTTCGACGCGGACATATTAGAGGCATCGGGCGTAAACCCCCTACCATTGTGTCCATGTATGATCAAGAACAACCGATGACACAAGAACCACCACAATCACAGGTAATTGTTTGTTTAAGTTGAAAAGTATAATGCTATAATGCTATAATGCTATAATGATATGTTGGTAGTTTTTGAAAAATATAATACTATTATGATATATTGGTTATATATTTTGATTTCTTTGTAGATGGAAATGCTGCAAACGATACTGAAGGACCCGACATGTTCTGTGGCATTAGAAGAGTGGTTTCGTTCATTGTCATCACCAAATAATGACGAAAATGATGAGAGTGACGGCGAGGAGTAGGAATTTTAGGATTTTATGAAATGTTTGTTTAGAAGAATACTTTAATTAGGTTGTATGGACTAATATTTTTTATTGTGGATTAATATTTTATAAATGTTATATTGTTTTTGGTTGTGTATGGGTTAAATATAGCTGATTTTATAAAATTGTAGATTTATATTCCATAAATAACAAACAAATAAATAAATAAAAAGAGTCTTTTGCAGCGACACTTTTAGCAGCGACATATAAGTATTAGCAGCGGCGTGTTTTTAGCAGCGACAGGTAAGTATTAGCAACGATAGGTTTTTAGCAGCGACAGGTAAGTATTAGCAGCGACAAGAAGGGCATTAGCGACGACGTATTTGCGGCGACGCGTCGCCGCTAATACCCGTATTTCTTGTAGTGTTTGACATAACGAAGAATACGCTTCACTGCTTCAAAGTGATCAGTTGTGGGTGCTTGCAAAAACCGACTGACTTGATTAACAGCGAAGGAGAGACCTGGTCTTGTGATCGTGAGATACTGAAGAGCTCTTACTAAGGATCGAAACAGTGTCGGATCCGAGAATAAGTCACCTGTTTTAAGGAGGTGATCAGTGGGCGATAAGGGTGTGGTGGTAGGTTTGGAATCAAGCAATCCAGCACGAGTAAGTATGTCATGTGCATACTTAGCCTGTGTAAGAAAGAGATAAGTGTCAGTGTATGTTACTTCAAGACCATGTAAGTAATTGAGATGTCCAAGATCTTAGGTGGCAAACTATGTGTTGATCCGATTGATGAAGTGGCGGATAATGCTAGAGTTATTCCCGGTGAGAATAATGTCATCAACATACACAAGAAGGTATAGAAAAGTGGATCCTTGTTAGAACACAAACAAGGATGTATCCGCACGACTGCATGAAAACCCAAGCGTGAGAACAAAGGTACTTAACCTTTAAAACCAATCTCTTGGTGCTTTCTTAAGTCCATAAAGCGCTTTTTTAAGACGACAAACATGCAAAGGATACTTTTCATCAACAAACACCGGAGGTTGTTCCATGAACGCAGTTTCGGAGAGCATGCCATTTAAAAATGCATTTTTAACATCAAGTTGATGTAATGGCCATTGGTGCATGACCACTAGAGTGAGTACAATTCGAACTGTTAAAGCTTTAACTACGGGGCTGAATGTATGCGAAAAATCGAGTCTGGGGTACCTGAGTGAATCCTTGAGCCACGAGATGTGCCTTGTATCTTTCAATTGTACCATCCGAGTGAAACTTGGTATGGAAAATCGATTTGGACCCAACAACACTAGAATGAGCGGGACGCGGAAGGAAGTCCGATGTGATATTATCGCGAAGTGCTGACATTTCTTCATCCATTGCCATTAACCAATGTGTGTGTTTAGATGTTGATTTAAAACCCTTTGGAATAGTAGATGTAAACAAGGCATGAACAAGACCGGTAGTGCCTAGGGAGGCCAAATCTGCAAAATGCTTCAGTTTAACAACTCCAGCTTTACCCCTCCTGATCATGGGATGTGTTGAAGGAACTATAGGCTGCAAGGGAGTTGATGACCTGAAGGGAGTGGGTTGTGGTGTGGCAAGTGGTGTAGAGGAGTCGAACACCGGTGATTCTCGCAGCATAGATGGGGCATCAGTAGCAGCAGTTTCGGCTGCTGGTGAGGGAGCTACTGGCAGACAAATGGAGTAGCGGTGATATAGAGTCATAGGAGAATCCTCATAAGGACTGGAGTTGTCTTCTTGCGGCTGAGTTGGGGATGAACCGAGTGGTTCATCAAATGAATTGAAGGCAAGTAAATTTAAATCTGATGAAGTAGAGCTGTTAGCAAATGGGAAGATGTGTTCATCAAATCGAGCATGTCTTGTTGTGTAAATACGATTAGTAGTTGGATCCAAACAACGATAACCTTTGTACCTTGTGCTATATCCAATAAATATATACAAGGAATACTTCGAGGAGCAAGCTTATGTACGGCATAGTCCCTCAAATAAGGGAAAACATGACATCCGAAGACACAAAAGATGTCATAGTTGGGTGAAGTAGCAAAAAGTACTTCAAATGGACTTTTGGCCTTGTGGAGTTTTGTGGGTAACCGGTTGATAATGTAAACGGCTAATGTAAACGCATCAACCCCATAAGATGTGGAATCGTGTGCATTACATAATAAAGCAAGACCCGTTTCGGTGATATGTCGGTGTTTGCGTTCAGCCCTTCCGTTTTATTGGGGAGTGTAAGGGCAAGAGACTTGATGATGTATGCCATTGGCAAGAAAAGTATGTTCAACCCGATGGTTTAAAAATTCAGTGCCTCCATCACTTTGAAATGTTTTTACTTTACACGAAAACTGAGTTTGCACAAAGGTGAGGAAAATTCCAAGGGTTTGTGCAAAATCGGATTTTCGTGTGAGTGGATAAAACCACGTAAACCTGGAATGATCATCAACAAATATGACATAGTATAGATACCCATCGGTGGATGGAACGAGTGTGGGGCCCCACAAATCACAATGAATGAGGTCAAGGACATGTAAAGCTCTTTTTGTATTGTCAGAAAAAGGTAATTTCTTGCTTTTAGACAATTGACAAGAGGGGCATAAATCGGGTTTAGGTAAAAGAGAAGTAATATTTAAAGAACCCAATTTTTGCAATAATGAAACAATGTCAAAAGCTACATGACCTAATCTATTATGCCATAATTCGAAAGAAGAACTAGTTCTTTTATTTCTTAAAGTGGTTAAAAAAGCCTTATTTCCTTGCTCAAGCACCTAAAGGCCTTCTTGACATCTATCCTTGGAGATGATTTCCTTGGTTATGCAATTCTGAATGGAAAAAAAATTATCATACAAGAGAAAATCAACAGGTGAGTCATGAGTTAGCTTGCTAATAGATAGGAAATTCTTTGTGAGATGAGGAACCACAAGCACATCCATTAAAGTAAGATTCTTGTAAATAATTTAGTTACCAATATGAGAGATGTTGAGAACATTACCATTGCCAACTACAACTTGATCTTTTCCCGTGTAGGAGGAGGAAGAGTCAAGATGTGATGAAGAGTTAGTCATGTGGCTGGAGGCACCAGAATCGACATACCAATCAGGAGTAGATGAGTTGACATTGCATTGACTGTGAAATGCATGGGCTAAATTTGCATCAATAGATGCACCTTGTTGAGCATACGAGGCCAAGTCAGGACATGCATGCAGATGCGTAGTGACCATTTTTTCTGCATGATTTGAAATGAGGGGAACGTTTACCGCGTCCCCTACCACGTGAGTAAGAACTATGTCCCTTACCACGGTTAGAAGGGCTGCCACGGGCTATTGAAGTAGATGAATTTGCATGAGTTTGGGCAGTGAAGGTAGCAACTGTTGTGGCTGGAGAACCGTGAAGAGAAGACATAAGCATCTCATGGCTCTCTGCTTGAGAGAGCAAATTACAAAAGGAGGGATAGATAGGGCTATTCGGTGAGAGGTGGAGAACGAATCAAATGTGGAGCCAAGACCACATAAGAAGTAATGAACCTTGTCGGAGTCATCCATTGGATGTTCAATGGTCGCCAATTGATCACACAGTGCCTTGTAGTTTTTGCCAAATTCATTAACAGAAGAAGATCCCTTTTTTAGTTGTCTCAAAGAATCACGTAGAGTCTGTAACCTCTCACGTGAGTCATGGTTGTAGGCTTGCTCCAAAGCCTTCCAGATTTCACGGGCAGTAGCTAAGCCAAGAGATTCAGCCATAGCCTCCTCCGATAAGGAGGATTGTAAGATGAGAAGAGCCCATTGATCAGCCTCATGCCAGGCTAAATAAGCTGGATTAGGAGAAGATTTACCTTTAACTGTAATCGTAGTAGAAGGAGCGAATGAGGACCCATCGATATGTCCCAGGAGATTCTGATAGGACAACAGTGGCTGAATCTGATTCTTCCAAAGATGATAATTGTTGGAGGAGAGTTTGATGGTGAGAAGATGAAGAATTGTAGATAAAGGGATGATTTCGGAAGAACAAGACATAGCGAAAGAAGATGAAAGGGATGATTTCGGAAGAACAAGACATAGCGAAAGAAGATGATTCTGGTGGAGGGAGGCAAGTGGCACCGATTAGGTTACCAGGTTGATACCATGTAAATAATAAATTCCCCTAAATATAGCTGATTTATTATTCACGTATATATTTGGAGTACATAGGTTTACAGGTAAGTACAACAACTAAAACAAATAAGACTTTATATTTAACATAAGATGATAAAAGCTACCTGCTAATACTCATAATCAAAATCAAGAAGGATGTTGGCAATCCAAACGTCTCTATGAATTATAGGAGGTGTGCAGTCGTGATGCATATAAGCCAAACCATTAGCAACAACCTTTACAATACTTACCCTTTTCAACCAATCCAATTCTTTTGCTAAGATCTCATTGCATAAGATTGATCCAAGGCTTCCCTTTTCAAGGTATTCATAAATCAAAAATGAGTGGCGGGCATGTGAGCAGTATCCACAGAGTTTCACTATGTTTCGATGCCTTATATTCGTTAATGCTTGTATGTCAATAAGGAATCCATTATGATCAACATTCTCAGATCATCAGTGAAGTTTCTTGACAGCTACCACATTGTTAGGTTGTAGCTCGGCTTTGTACACAGTACCATATCCTCCAGTCCCAATGGAGTATGCTTCATCAAAATTGTTCGTTGCTTTCAAGATGTCATCATACACTACTCCTCCATCAAAACTTGTTATGGAGAAATAATCACCACCTTCTTTGTCCAATGGTTTATGTGGAGAATGTCTCTTTTGTTTTCGATAAGCAGTGAGATCACACATGAATAAACCAAGTAAAATTACCCCGATAAGAAGGAGCATAATTACCTGGATGAGCCGATGATGAAAGGGATCATTTTTCTTATTCAAAATTACTATTGTTTCGAATTACATACCATGGTAATTTAAATAGAAGATCAAAATTCATCTTCTGTAATAGAAAACTTACAACTGGAAAACTTATTTCATGGTCATATCTTATTCATTGGCTCATTGCTTCAAATACTGTACTGTACAAGTAACTAATGCAAAAAGGAATGAGGTTTCGTCGTTTTACTCTTCTGGGCTAACCAACTCCAACGAATTGCTTCAATCACTGGTGAATGAATGAGGTTTCTCTATGGTGTCTAAGAAGACGCATGAATCACTTGTAAGTTTATGACGCTTCCTTGGAGGTGAATGTAATTAGTATATAAATTTAATATCGTTTGTGTATTTATTGATTATCCAAATAACACTGAATGGATAAGTTGCAGGGTACAAGTGAGTGAAGCATGCAAAAGAGATGGTAGAATCTGAATACCTGTGAAGAGTCAAAGTAGTATTGAGAGCAGTTAACTCCACACCAACTATCACTATATATTTATCTTCATAAACCTCCATCTTTGTTCAGTGAAGCTCTATACCTGGATATGTGGTATTGGTTAGACGAGTAGGGAAAGGTAGGGGAAGGGGTGAAGGGTAGTTGGATGGTGGGCCATTCATTTAAAAAAGAAAACCAAAAATAATATATATATATATATATATATATATATATATATATATATATATAATAAGGGTAATTTCGTGTTCTGGGATCATTCTGTTGACAAAAACAAACATTATGGAGTGTCTCTCACTACTAGAAAAAAAGGTGTTTTCCTACGGATAATAGCTACGGAAAATTTCCGTAGCTAATTAGCTACGGAATGGCTACGGATTAGCTACAGAATTGGACGCCTTAATTTAGTAACAGAATAGCTACGGAATAGCTACGGCATAACTACGGATTCAATTCCATAGGTATTCCGTAGCTAATTAGCTACGGGATAGCTACGACATCACTACGGATGCTACTCCATAGCCATTCTGTAGCTAATTAGCTTCGGAATAGCTACGGAATCGTTATGGATGTTAACCTGTAGCTATTCCGTAGCTACTTAGCTACAAAATGGCTACGGAATAGCTACGCATATAATATTAAACCATTAAATGAATAAAGGATCTCGAAGGTGCAAACGACTGTATCAACACTATTAATGACTATAAGTTGTTGAAAATAAAGATAATCGTGTATAATAGAGGTGGGAAAAAAACGAAGAGAAAAAAACGATGTTTAATGCCCGGAAAATCAAAAATAATAAAATCCGTAGCAACTCCATAGCTAATTAGCTACTGATTAGCTACGGATTTTTTTTATTTTCTATTTTTCGGGCACCAAACGTCGTTTTTTTCGCTTCGTTTTTTTTACACTTCTACTATACATCATTATCTATACTTTCACCAACTTATAGATATTAATAGCATTCATAAAGTCGTGTGGACCTTCGTGATCAAGTATTCGTTTCATAGTTTTAACAATGTAATTACTATACTTTTCACCAAATTGTGATGAATTTATTTTTGTATATGTATATTTACATACATGAAAGAGTTGTGGTATATGTGTACGTGTATGTGTGTGTGTATACGTGTTTGTGCGTATTTATATGTGAACGTAGATCATAAGCGTGTTAAACCATTAAACGAGTAATGGATCTCATATGTGCACACAATCATGTATAATAGAGGTGTGAAAAAAACGAAGCGGAAAAAACGACGTTTGGTGCCCGAAAAACTGAAAATAAGAATTATCCGTAGCTAATCCGTAGCGAATTAGCTACGGACTAGCTACGGAATTCTAACGGAAAGCACATTCCGTAGCTAATCCGTAGGTAATTACCTACGGATTAGCTACGGAATGTGCTTTCCGTTAGAACTCCGTAGCTAGTCCGTAGCTAATTCGCTACGGATTAGCTAGGTATAATTCTTATTTTCAGTTTTTCGGGCACCAAACGTCGTTTTTTCCGCTTCGTTTTTTTCACACCTCTATTATACATGATTATATCTAGTTTCACCAACTTTTAGCTATTAATATCATTCATAAAGTCTTGCGCACCTTCGGGATCAAGTACTCGTTTAATAAGTACTCGTTTAATGGTTTAACAATATAATGACTATATTTTTCACCAACTTGTGATGGATTTATGTTTGTAGACATGAATGAGTTGTGGTATATATGTATGTGTATATGTGTATGTATACGTTTTTGTGAGTATTTATATGTGAACGTAGATGATAAGCATTAGAGTTTAAAACCATTAAACGTGTAATGGATCCCGTATGGGCACACGACTTTATGAATGACATTAATAGCTAAAAGTTTTAGAAAATATAGATAATCATGTATAATAGAGGTGTGAAAAAAACGAAGCGGAAAAAATGACTTTTGGTGCCCGAAATGTCGAAAATAAGAATTATCCGTAGCTAATCCGTAGCTAATTAGCTACGGACTAGCTACGGAATTCTAACGGAAATAATAATAATAATAATAATAATAATAATAATAATAATAATAATAATAATAATAATAAGATGTTTAAATAGAATAGTCAAGCATGTTAGTATGGATGTGGTATGCCTGGCCGGTTGGTAAGTTTGTGGTATTGTACGTAGGTAACTCAAGTTCGAATCCCACCCACGTTTTTTTTTTTGCAGGCCGTAGCTAATCGGTAGCTAAACCGTCGCTAAACGTGTCCGTAGCTAAGCCGTAGCAGATTCCGAACCTGTGCCATAGCAAATCGGTAGCTATTTTTTTTAATTAAAATCCATTTTATTTCCTTTTTATATTCATCCCACGACAATAATAATAATAATAATAATAATAATAATAATAATAATAATAATAATAATAATAATAATAATAATAATAATAATAATAATAATAAAAATAATAATAATAATAATAATAATAAGAATAATAATAATAAGAATAAGAAGATGTTTAAATAAAATAGGCAAACATATTAGTATGGATGTGGCATGCCCGACCGATTGGTAAGTTTGTGGTATTGTACGTAGGAAACCCGATTTCGAATCCCACCCACATTTTTTTTTGCAGGCCGTAGCTAATCAGTAGCTAAACCGTCGCTAAAACGGTCCGTAGCTAATCTGTAGCAACTTCCGAAGCTGGGCCGTAGCAAATCGGTAGCTATTGTTTTTAATTAAAATCCATTCTATTTCCTTATATCCCACGAATTCCCACCCCCCTCCCCTTCACCCCTTCTGTTCAGCGAACAGATCCAGAAAAGAAAGAACCAAACTTCTCCCCCCCCCCCCTCTCGTTCCAACAAGCTGGGCCGTATAAGACACCCGATGGAAGTGCTGGACACTTAGAAGTTATAGCTACGAAACCATCGAGACATGCTTATTTTCATAATGGGTATTTTGTAAACGGTTATAAGTTCCACACTCAACAATACGGCGAGGGTCGTGCGACAAAAAACTTTGGAGTATGTGTTAGAGGGGAGACGTATAATGCCGAACAAGAGTCAGACTACTATGGCATATTGCAAGAGATCTTAGAGATTGAGTATTATAGCAGCGGACCTTCGACTGTTGTACTTTTTAATTGTATTTGGTTTGATAACAAAGACGGTGTAATAGTCAACAAAAACAAGTTGGTCGATGTCAAACCCAAATCTCGACTTCAAACTGACGATCCTTTTTGTTTGGCATCACAAGCTGAACAAGTATTTTATACACCATACCCTTCAATGTCAAATGAGACGAAAGATAAATGGGCGGTTATCAAAACAAAACCAAGAGGGGTATTTGAAGTCACCGAAGCTGAAATGGAAGCAGATGAAGTCTTTCAGGTTGAAGAACGGTTTGAGTCACCCCTTACTGTAACTCGTGTGGAACCGCTATGCCTAGCCTCAACTATAAATACATATGAGCAAATATCTGATGAAGCGAATGAGAGAATTGAGGAGGAAGACGAAGAAGTGGAAGATTTTGAAGACGGAGGTGATGAAAATGAGTTTTATTATTCAGAAGAAGAATTTGAAAACGAAGATGATGGGGACGAATGTTAGGAGTATTGTCTTTTGTTGATGTTAGGAGCATTGTATTTTGTTTATGTTAGGAGCATTGTCATTTTGAAGACTGTTGTACTGTTTAAACGTTGTTTTGATAATGATTTTGATTTGGACATCCGGTTGTTTTAAACATTTGTTTTGTCATGACTTATCAATCTTATATTATATATCTGACCATTCTTGTTCTATTAAATGCAGCATGTCAGGTAATCGACGCAAGGATAAAGGCCACAGTACCAACACTTCTTCTAGCAGTGTGGGGCATAGGAGGGGGGAGGGTTATCCCTAATTCTACCGACGAGCCACGTTATAGGACATCACTCATACCGATTGATATGCCGATAGTGACAGGAGTTGCAGGCTCCAACAGTCAGGGTGCCATCAATGAACAAACCGACATGGCTGATCCTTTAGCAGATTTGGCTGGGATTCTTCGCCATCAGGCTCGAGGGCTGGGTCATATGTCCCAACTCATACAGACAGATTATAGGCTCCAATCCCCACAAATGGGTTATACGCCTCAGTTTCCAAATATAGGTGCTGAGTTGCCGACCCCACAAACGGTTTTGAGGCCGGGTGGTCATGATGGATTTGAGGAGTACTATTTTGAGGGTGCAGATGCACAGACAAACTTTCGGTCGCCACAGACCCCGCACACGCCACGGCCACCGAACACGCCACCGACGCCACATGGCTCCACCTCTAGAGGTGTTACGGGCGGCCATGACTCCAATGCGAGTGATTTTCAGGAGTCTTCGTTTCCCCTCATCAGCCGAAAAGGGAAAAAGTTAGTGTTTTCGTATTTTAAAACTTTAATTTTTGATGTTAAAATTCTACTTATATAGTTCTTTTCAATGTAGGTTTGGGTCTAGGAAAATCCACAGCACGTGTATTAGTCTCTATTGGGAGAATATGGATCATCCGTGGCCCCGATTTAGTGATATTCCCAATGAGGCCCTTTTGCAGATGTTTTCGCGTTTCAAGGCAATATATTAAATATAAATTATTGTATCTTATACTCATTTGTTTTTACTTTGTATTTTTAGATTTACTTTTTATTTTTTTACAGACCATGTACAGGTGGAATTCACTAGAGAATAGTAACATATTTGATGCCTTCAAGTGTGTCCTCAAGGATAGATACAGGGATCAGATGAAGCGTATCAGGATTAAATCTGGGGAAATGGCACGAAATGATGGGAAACCCGTCCCCTTAGGTCATTGTACCTACTACGAAGGGATGCATGACTACCGCCCTGGGCGCGTACCAGAGAATGTGTGGCGATGTTTGTGTGATGTAATGGATATGATACTTTATTATCTATTTTGTTGAATTTTAATCTCTTATTGTATTAGTATCCTTATATTTTTTTCTTTTCACAGCATTGGTCGACAGATAAGTGGAGAAAGAATTCAAAAATTGCTCAGCAGAACCGCAAAGTTGCAGATGCTAATGGGTCGACAGCTAGGCACACCGCGGGTAGTATAGGATTTGACGAGCACCGTAACAACTTAGTAAGTATCATAATTATAAATTTTATTATCTTATTTTTTTAACACTAACTACATCAACTATACTTTGTATTTTTATGTAGGAAAAGGTTTGGGTAAACCACCCACACAATTTGATGTTTTCATGAAGACGCATGGTACAGCTGAGGCGAAAAAAAGATATTTTGCGGGAGATCATGAAAATCTCGAATATTGCTCACTAACTGCCAAAGAAGCACAAGTAACTTATCTTTTATCATTTATTATCTATTTTGATGTCTTAGTATTTTTGTACATGACAATGATACGTTTTTGGTAATTTGTAGGAGATGTATCTACAGGAGATGGCCAAAAAACACGGAGAAGACTCTTCAAACCATAAAGATGATGCGAGGGTATGGGAGGAAATTCACCTTAGGAGAAAAGGAAAGAAGAAGGGTGATATCTATGGCATAGGAGCATCAGATATACATTTTGTGATTACTGGGACACCGTCTTCCCAATCCACCCAATCCACCCAATCGGATAGTACACAACAAGAGGTATGTTGTCATGGTTTAAACGTTAATTAGTATGTTGATAATATTGATATAATAAACTAAAGTACATTGCTAATATTGTTTAACTATTGCATTGTGTTGCCATTTTTTTAGGTTGATAGGTTGCGTGCACAAGTTTCTACCATGGAACAACAACAACAACAACAACAAATGAAAGAATAAATGGAAATGGTTATGAGGATGATGAATATGTCTGGAAATCAACCCCGTGCTCCCCCTGATAATCCACCTGAGGACAATTGATAAGTATTTTGGAACAATTTAGTTTGTAAACATTTGATATTGTTTGTTTTGTTTAGTGCTTACTTTTGTAAGATATTTTGGATAATGGATTGGAATGTGTCAAACTTGGTATGACGGACGTTTTTTGGTGTATTTTATATGGTATTTGGGACAAATGTGAATTTAATGTGGTATTTGACAAAAAATTGGAAATTTTTAAATTATTTTTTTTTAAATAAAACGAAGTTAGCTACGGAATCGCTACGGATTTCCGTAGCTATTTACTTGCGTAGCGATTCCGTAGCTGTTTTGTTCCGTAGCTATTTTGTTCCGTAGCTATTCCGTAGCTATTTGTAGCCGTAGCTATTCCGTAGCTATTTTCTTCCGTAGCTATATAGTACCGTAACTATTCCGTAGGAAATCCGTAGCTATTCCGTAGCTATAGTAGCTACGGAATATTCCGTAGCGATTTTGTAGCTAATCCGTAGCTATAATTTAGCCACGGGCTATTATGCTACAGTCAATTTTCCGTAGCTATCCGCTTATAGCTACGGGATAGCTACGGATTGTGCCGTAGCTATTGCACCAATTTTCTAGTAGGGTCTGTCCAAATTGAAAACTTGGGATTTGATTAAAGAAAAATACATAACCATAGGGACCATTTTTATAATTTACTCTAATTTAAACAAAAAAAGTAAAAATAAAAATGAATCTAACTTCATAAACTTGAGATTGGAAAAATTACGATGAAGCGATCTTGACCAATCAACAAAACTTTTAATCTTCTAAAAGATGGGATACATTAATGGTTATGTGAAGACAAGAGGGAACATATACAATTATACAAAGCGAAGTGGAGTGTGCCTTACTTCATAAATCAGTGTTATTTATCGGACGACTAATTAAGTTACTTTCGAGATGCTCCAATTGTGATGGCTACTTTAAGAGATTATAAAAATGAATGCTCCTGGAATATTCTTGTAAGGTATGAACAAAGTGAAAAGAAGATTTAGAAACTTTATTTCATCCATATCTTTGTTATCACCTCCTGCACCGTTAGTTCTAAAGCGTAAAATCTTTAGTCATTAATTTTCTATCATGAGCATCTAAATAATGTCACATGCTAACATTATGAAGATAATTAAAGAAAAGGTTAAAAGCAACTTTATTTTTAAATATATTAGGATTTATTTATTTATTTTTTAATTTATATTCAAAATTAAGTAGATCCACATAGGGGTACAAATACAATATCACCCCTATCTTTGGTCGCTTAGAATTCACATTTGGTTTTGTGATTTTTGGATGCAAATTTTGTACCTACAAATACCTGTACCTTCCTGATATATTTAATTTTATAGGTCTAGATTATTCGAATCAGTTAGAGTTACACATTTGCAATGTCAATATCTTGTAAAGATCTATTGTATCCACATAATAAAATGATGTTGTAGGTCCTTTCACATACCCACATTATTGTCTTTGAACAACTTATTAAAAGCGGGGCTTTCCACCAAGAAGCTAGAAAGCAAAATTTTGGTGATAGAGTCCCACATAGGTGGTGTGAGAAACGTTTAGTGGATATTTACATTTAAAGTTTCTTCAATTATTTGAATGGCAATTTGGATTGTATTATATGTTGTTACGTTACAACAACCCAACCCCCAAAAAAAAAAAGGCAAAGAATAAGCCGATGAAACTAATCAATAACTCAAAAAATGAACAATCCCACCCAAAGCAAAGACTAAGGGGATGTTTGGATAAACTAGTTTATAGCTTATTTGCTTATAGTGGTGAGAGAAAGCAACTTTTGTAAAAGGGTTTGGATTAGAAGTAAGCAATAAGAAATGTGTGATGCTTATTAAAATTAGCATATTTTGTTTATCCCCACCAGAATAAGCTGATTTTGTAGTGTTTTCTATCCAAATACTTAAATTCAGCTTATAGCGATAGAGATAAACAATAAGCTATAAACACTCTCGTTTTTTCCTATCCAAATACCCTCTAAGAAAAGGGTGAATATGCAAAAATGTGTTTGCAACTTACATTAGGTCAAAATTTATAAGCTAACTGCTAGAAACGATTTTTAATGTTTGAAGCTACTTTCTTTTCCGTGTTCTGTAAAAAGTGGAAAAAACAAGTCTTTCGTCTTATAAAAAGCAATCAATTTTTTTAGGATTGGTGAAATGAAAACCCTATAAACTTTCACTTTTGTTCTTAATTGGTCACCCAAAATTTTTTACCCTCTTAATTCATTTAACTAACATAATACACTTTTATTAAGGGAATTTGTTCATTCTCTATTCTTTACCGTTTAAATATGTTGATGTGGAGGTTTTCTAAGTTGCATCCTTCAATGTAAGTAATTCCACATGTGCATATAAACTTAAATGAGAAAGGCTATTGATTTTCCCTCATATTTAAGGAGACCAACACAATCATTACTCTTAACTTGGATTATAGTTAGGGTTTCGGCTAAGTGTAAGAGCAGTGGCCCGAAGAACATACTTTCTGATCTCAGTTGTTGTTGTTGTTGTTGTTTTGTTTTTTTTTTTTGTTTTTTTTTTTTTAACTGCATAGGTGAAGAACGTCATCGAGGTATTTATTTGAAAATCGATGTCAATTTTAACGGTGTTTTTATTACATATCCATGTCGTTATGTTGGAGGTGATCATTTTTTTTTTGGAAAGGGAAATTCCCTAACGAGAGTTTCCGGGCAGCTTTCGTGCACCGACTAATCCCCCGCTAAAGAACATGAAGCTTTGCCTCATGCCCTAGAGTCACTGCAGTGTAGGCGAATCTCCATGGCCAGAAGGGCTGACTAGGGAAGCGTTTGAGAAACTTTAATACTCCTTTCAGAATCATCCTTCGTATTACTTGCATAAGAAATGATTTGGAGTATGCTGACTTTCATTATACAACTTATGAACAACCAAAAATCCCAATTTCCATTTTCATTGACCATACCAGGGATGGTTGAGAGGACTCGGCTAGAAATGAGACTAGTACTATTATCCAAGGTGAAGGTGTACAAAGAACCATAAAAAAAAACTTGTTTAGAGTATCAAATAATGTAAATCTAAACAAGATTGTTGATGATTACTTGCTCAACAAGTTGTGTTCAAATGAAAGAAATGATGAGGTGGTAGAGAATAAAGACACTTTGGCCACCCGACTTTCAATCTTGATTTACAATGGAAGTAGCAAAAGCCAATTCTAGGTATAAGATTTGAGAGCCTTGAATAACTTAAGCACATGTTATGCAATTATGTTGTCCATAATAGGCATGAACTATGATTTGAAAAAAAAAATAAGGTTTGTTATCATGTGTAGTAAAAGAGCGTGCACTTTTAGAGTGAGGGGATCATGGATGAGTGAAGAACACTAATTTCATATTGTAGTCATGATGGATGAGTGAAGGAGGACAATGAGGTCGAAGGAGCGGTGTGTCAATGAATGTGACTAAAGAAGCACCAATGGATGTGAGTGAGGATGTTACAAATAAAGTTCTGAATGGTGAAGGATGGGGCTCCAATAAGCCATCGAATAAACATGATATGAATGTTGAGAAGAAATAAGTAGTGGGAAGAGTGCTACCAATTGTTGCTAGGAGGAAGACTTTGAAAGAATCCTAAAAATAAAAATTATGAAAAGAGTTGTGCCCGAAAATGATGAAGGATGCAACACTGAAAAGCCAGTCAACTTGGAATAATTAAATACTTTGTGGAATTTGTCTTCTGAAGGTTACTACATGTGGTTTATTTGAAACTTACTACTTGTGCAGCTAAACACTTTTTTGGTGTCAAAATTTCTATAAAATTTTGTTACTTTTGGTTGTATAATACTAATTCTAACAACAACCATGTTTTCATGTTAGTTTAGAGAATGCATGCGCAGTCCAATTTACGAATTGGTGGTTCACCATGTTCATGCATGTCCAATCAAAATTTTGAATTGGTAATCAAATTCATATCTCTTTATTATATAAATTGTAACACCAAGTTCCATGTATAATTACTTTTGTGGTTGTGGGTGATTAAGGCTGAAAAATGCAAGATTTGTGGTGGCTAAAAGATGGTGATGTTATCACCACGACATGGCGGCACCAGATAACACACACATTCTTTTTGGATGCCACCATTTGGAAAGATATTGGCCACGACGTGGAAGCCACATTCATGTAAAGTCGTAATTTTTCACGCCTTAGGCCCTATTTAAGGGATGTGATGGCTAAGGTTTCCACACCATCGGACTCCATCACCTCCCTTTCACTTGTAACACCGAAAATTTCAAACAAAATTTTTTCAATTTTTATAAAACATAATTCCATCGATATTCATAAAAACAACCATTTTAATTATCCAACAAAACAGTACAAAATCCCAAGATCATAATATCAAGCTCCGAACGTGTGTGTATACGGATCAAGTCGGCGCCTTCTCGCGGTCGTCACTAGTACCTGAAACAAATAACACTAACACTGTAAGCACAAGGCTTAGTGAGTTCCCCAAAATACCACATATAACACATATTAGCCACTCTAGGCTATAACTCTGTGGGTCCGTGCACCCAAACTCTGTGAACCCTCAGGTTCTAGCTCTGATAAACATGCACCACATAAATCACTTAGAAATCATGCAGTACAACACACAACATACATAGCATACAAATACTCTATCACATAACTCTGGTTACCTACTCAAGGTAAAGTATAGTGAGAAGACTCACCTCGCGTATCTCGGTATCTCACGAATCCTGGAAATCCCTCGTGCTCGATCCTCCGAGCTCTAATCCTCCTATAACATTATATGCTTCTAATTAACACTTTATATCTCTAAGGTTGACTATCAATAAGGAGTCAACACTGGTCAACTCTGGTCAACGGTCAACTCTGACTGGACTCGGCGAGTACCATGGCGACTCGGCGAGTCTGGGCGTAT